ACAGCTATTATTAAACATATTCTGCGTTTTATCACATCTTTGAAATGGTTCCATAATTCCCGTGTTATACAATAGTAACACAGTGAACCCATAGGATTTTATTGAGTTAATCAACTAATCAACTAAACTTAAAGTTAATTATACTTCTAAATTTTTTGAACAGCGGAATAAATACAGTGAACATTATCAATGTAATATAGTTTGTCGCTTAAGTCTTTTGTATATATTTTAATGGCGGACTTTAAGGCTGATATTTTGCGTCTTATTTATAAATCAAATTTTAGTTAAAATTATTAACTTTTTAAACGTTAAACATTATTAATTTAATAATAATATTAATAATTATTCTAATAATATAATAATTTTAATATTATTAAATTTATAATTTAGCAGCTAATTCACTGTAACCTTCACAACTTTTTTATTCATGTAAACAAATATGCACATACTTTTGTGAATTTTCTATGAAATTGACAATTAGACAATCTAAGATATTTTTTTTTAAATTAACATCTTCCATTGAACGCTAATTGCATATAATGCGCACTGCAGTCTGTGGTTGTTCATTAAACTGGTCCATTAAGCCAGCCCATTTGCGAATCTTAAACAAACATTATGAAGAAAAATTACGATTTTATATCTGTGCGTAATATTTTTCTTCATTGCTAATGCAAATTACTGTCATTAAGTAATGAATGAAGAGTAACTTAGCGCTCTTTATGGAAAGCATGCATGATTCGAGCGTGTGAAGCTATAATGAGTTCGGATATTTCTAAAGAAATAGTTACAAGGACAAAATATTTGGATTTTGCAATAGTATGCTAGTATAGAAATACAATATATAAATAAAATAATATTCATGTTTAGTTTTTTTACATAAATAACAATAAGTAATATTATATTGAATTATTTAATTTACATTCAAATGCAAATAGGTTCTTTGTTTTGTAAATAATCTCTATAACATATATCTTTTTTGTTATAATTATATTAAGACTTTTGTTTATGTATACATTTGTTTTCGCCGAGACATTGATTGTACAAAATCATTTTTATGTTGTGGTTATTACTGTTATTATTGAAAGAAATATTGGTACTCCGGTATTTTGATTACTATTATTTTATCCTTGGAGAAAGTAAGGTAAACTTATCTCGATAAATTTATGGACCTAACAGTATGATTGGTCCAATATTATAGATTTTGGTGTGCTTATTATACTACATTATTTTGCATTTGCCTTAATTTTTCTTGAATTTTTTTTCCAAAATACCTATAAGAATTTACTCCTTTATTTACCATTTAAGAAAACAATTACGGTTACGTACATGATATTGAATTTGACACACATTTCAAACATTTAAAAATATCAAAGAGAATAAATATACTATTCTTTTAAGTATGTCCAAAAGCCTACAAAATGACTTGATATTTGTGCACATTATAATATAAGATCATATTTTTTTATTCAATAGACGAGTATATTTCTTTTTACAAATATTTTTAAATAATGTACTTTGCAAAGAATATTAAGAGTCATCAGTTATTAATTCAGTAAATCTGCTGACATTAAATTAATTATTAAATGGATTTTTGTATATTTTAAAGCTTAATATCAAGGTCAAATGAAATTCAAGGCGATGAAGTACTTATCTTTTAACAAATATTAATCAAAAGAAATTCCTGAAATTTTAATTCAAATAAGTTCTTTTACTTTTCATTAGCACTTAAAAGATATTTATCACGTTTTTGGCTTAACTAACTTAGAATCCCTAATACTATATCATTACAATTAATCATTGGTCACGTGTTACCTATTATATCAAAACAATTCCATGGTCAGCAAATAATAAATACTTTAAAGAATTGTTTGACCTTGGTCTGATGATTTAATTATATATGAAAATTAATTTTGCATGTAAAATAAGTCGACACAAATAAAACAGGCATCCGGATAATGACATCAGATCAACAAGTTATTACTTATTACAGTATTTACACAATATTTATATTCAATATAATAACTTAAAAGAATTTACAAAGCCTTTATACAATGTATACTAAAGTAATGCATAAAAATCTGTAATAGTTATTGATATAGAAAGAAACATTGTTAACAGTAAATCTTAATATTTACCCAAAGGCTTTATTTGTATTCAATGAAAATGTTCCAATTTGTTTAAATAAATTTGATTATCACTGGTCAAATTATTTTTCCTTATATTAATTCCTATCGCTGGTAAGTCAGAGTGCAAAAACCTTTTAAAAACCACTTGACTTTGGCACCGGCACAAAATTCCACAGTGCTGATTGCTTCCGAGTTCAAAATCTTTGGAACAAGTTCAAGTTGATAATTTAATCACAACAAAATTACAGTTGGCAGTCTTATAAGTAAAACGATATATCAGCTGTCAATGAATAATTAAAAATATGATTTAATGTTTAATACATTTTGAATATAAAAATAATTAAATTTATTCGTAACTGCGCTAAATTAAATTATAAATACGAGTATACTCTTACTATATAAGCAAGTAGTTATTGTGCCAAAAAATATTCAGAGGAAGTTGCTTAATCATGCAAAAAGTATTTAACTATAATCTTGATTAAAAGATAAAAGGAAACAAAAGCGAATTTTTAATTTTAATTTTAAATTAGCTTAATAACCAAAAATTGATTTAACTATTATATCAGTTATTTATCGAAAATACAGTAGCTCTACAACAACGCAGATGGCTATGTAATCACCGCACTAAAGTTCATTCCTCCTTCCTTAAGCACCGGTACAGACTTATAAGCCTTAATATATTAATAACAATTGTAAGAATTCGACTTTAATAAATTGATAATTGTTGTACTTTTTTTTTTTTAAATTAATAATATATATTGTCTGCTTTTAAATATTTATTTTTAAATTTCAATATAAAAATATTTTAATTCATCGCAAAAATTAAGCCACAATCGTTAATAAAATAGCGGAAAAAGACTTTAAATTAGCATAAAATGTCACATGCGCATTTAAATAAATAAAGATACAAACTTTAAAATTGATTATTTTTATTTATTAATTTTTATTGAATTTTTTCATGTATTTTTCCATACGCCATGCGTCAGTATTATTTATTTAAACGAAGCCCTACAGTGGGACAAATTTTAGAAAATTTATTTTAATTCAAATTTTCATTATCAATTTTGTTCTCTTATTATTAAAGTAGGTAATTGTACCGTTCGACCTCTGGAAAAAGTCTTCTAGATATTCTAAACAAATTCTGTTAGACATCAGTTAAATACCCACTATAAGTGATAATATTAAATACATTAATTCATCATTATATATTTTACATATAAGATTATCTGTAAATTTTTCTAGATTATCCTAAAAGGATCCGGATATTTTTTTTTAGAATGTCAATCTGTGAGAATGCTTGAATATAATACACCAATAAAAATATATTTCTTAATGCTTTACCAGCGATTTCAATTTCGTGATGATGACTTTTTTGCAGCAGCTGCTGTAAATAATAATATTGTTGAATTAATAACATAAGAAAAACTTACTCTAAGCAATATTAGTACTGAGAAACTAACTATACATGCCAAACATGAAACTCAATAAACATTGTATTAGTAATAAAATTTCTTAATACTATCTAATTATTTATCTTGTGAGGCAAGGTGTATATGCTTTATATGTATTGCATCTTACTATTAATTTTATGAGATATAGTTACTAAGAAGATTGTTAAATTCTTTCGACAACATATTCACAAAACTACTTATCATGACAAAAAATATTACATTATATGACTGTTTTGTTGATAGAAATATTAGAAAATTAGAAAATTCTAATGTAGAAATACTAAAGTCACTCAAATTTCTGTTGAAGAAAACTAATCTCTAGAGAAAGAAAAAAAATTGAACTAAAACCATTGTGATACTAAATTTTTTAGTAGTGTCTACACATAAAGCTCATTGAAACAGCTAGTGTGTTATTGCAATGGGTCCATTTCTTTGAGCATAAGTTGGTTGCTCCTTTTAAAAGACAGGATGTCAATGATATCTACCATCTACCGGTTTACTATATGTATATTCGCTAGTAGTTTTTATTGTATCAATTCACAACTTATATTTTCTTATACTTATATTTTTCAGAAAAAGGTATTCATTTATCCATTGAATAAATTAATAGTTGCTAATATGTATAATAAATAAATTTAAAGTGTAATCTTATTTATATTCTATTATATTTTATAGTAATAGAATATTCTATTATTATTAATACATACAACTAAAAAAGCTATCTTAACGCTTCATGCTACGTTAAACTATTTATACTTTCCTGTGGTACCACAACGGGCCATTATTTTGAGCTCAAGTGGGCTTTCTTGGTACACAAGGCCGTCACTTCAACCTAATCTAACCTAACCTACTTTAACTAAACGAAGAACAAATTATTTTTCAAATACAATATTTACACTAATCGGCTATAATATTAAAAAATACTAATAAACTCTAGAAATAATAAGTACTTATAATATTTATCCGTATGTATCTTCCATCCCTTCTCAAGTCTTACTTAAAATCAAATAATAAGTCGTTTTTAGTATACAAAATGAAACTTGTTTGTTTAAAACAAAATCAACCTTTTTTGTTAAATATATTCAATTATGATTGTTATTGTTCAGGGTTAAAAATAACAACAACAAAATATCGATTTCTAGCGAAACTATTTATAATGCATTGATTTGAATAAATTTTAGCTCATAAATCAGGTCAAGTGTTGCCAACGTATTAACGTTTCTGTATGCACAGTAATGAGTTATCATATCATATCAATACAATTTTATTGGATATTAAAATGCAAATTAATCATTAAACTGCATATAATGAGTCATAAATATAGTTATAAGTATGTCAATTTATCTATCAATTCAATCTATTCAAACTTATGAAACAAATGATGTTTATTGTTCATTAAATTGATTATTTCTTTTGTTTACAGGAAGGTAGTATTGGTCATGAAATGGTCATTAAACCAGTGCCACATGAATTGAGCCCAAATAAAGAACAAGCACATCATATAATATATAAACGTGAAGCACAGCCCTTGGAACACTTAAGTGATTTTGGTAAGTACCAGAACATGTACCTAACCGGTACCTAAATAAGTTCATGTACTCTTGTACCTATAGTTTTATGCTTATAAACAATAAAGCTGACATGAAACGAGTGTATGTAATAAAAATCTAGTTATGATGAATCATATTTAGGTAAAGTGTGATAATAATATATATTCCATATAATATAAAAGAATATATATAAATTTTAACTTTTATTATTTGTAAACTGTTAGTTTTGTTAAATTTGGTTTGGTTCGACTTTTGCGTTTATTTAACATAAAGTTAAATATATTTTTTTATGAGAATATGGAAACTTTATGATTTTCTTGAAGAGTGAAAATATGCATAAAGATATATCAAATGATTTGAATTCCCAATATTATAAAAATCTTAAATAATATAGGTATATTTTTTTGCGATTCCATTTCCTGACTGTTTATTGCTAAAATAGTTATATTTAAATTTCTTAGCTATACTGATGAATTGTCTATTGCATTAAATATTATATAAAACTAAGTACGTGGTTTTCCTCGCACGATATCATTAAAGTTAAGTTCGATAACATATTAACCTCCGATATGGAATATATGCTGGTTGAGACGTTTCAACTTTCCAGAAATTTTCAAAATTGAGGTTATCTACATGATTAATTTTACTTACGGAATCATTTTACTTGTTTCGGAAAACAAATTTGCAATAAAAACGATGTTGTCTTGTATAGGTATAGTACTATAGAAATTTGTTTGTGTATACAAAATGTATCTTAATGAATAGTGCAAATAATAAACTATCTATTGCAAGTAAGCTTATTATTATTGGCAACATAACTATTATAATGAATGTTTTTCAACAAGAGAATAATGCAATTAACGAAAACATGTTCAATGCCTATTTAAAACCCTTACAAATACATCAGTAAATAATTTTGCTGATTTTTTTATTTTCTAAGCATATAGGTATATGTCAATTCTTAATATCACCTCTCTTGTATTTGAATATGTTCATATAACATAATAATAACTTTTGATTTTTTACTAATGAAAACCTTCTGTCAATACAAAAACTAACAGTCAGAAGTTAGTTACCAAAATTACTAGTTTTAATATTGAATATATCATTAAATATTATTCGATATTATTTAAAAAATAAATCTCCTTTTTCCTTATTTTTTTTTATAATTGCGCTTATTTGCTGCTAATAACCATAAATAGTCCACATAGTAAGACAGCAATATTAGTCACAGATATATTGCAATATTTCATGCAGTTAGCGGTTTTTTTAATGTGTTTAAAATGCACATAACGGTTTAATATTTACTTATCTGTAAAATTAATATTTGATTAATATATCCGCTTGTACAACTCCGGTTGTAAAGTTTTAAAGTTCATCAAACTATTGAACCGTAAAACAACCGAAATTCAGCCGAAACCATGCCACGAAAGATACTAGCGTGCATAATTGTTATTACTTTTTATGGTTAAGCTTGACCACAGATTACATCTTCGGACAAGAATTTATGCACATTTATGTCAGTAACCTTCAATGAAACCATTACATAAAGAATCCATACAAAATTAAATTATTAAAAAATACCTACATGGTAGCTTACTTTTTGCTTATGTTAAGAGAAAAATGAGAATTGAATTTTTTGATTGTCGCCAAAAACCCATTAATATATTTTTAAAAGACTGTGGGTGCGTTCATATAGATTATTATAAAAAAATTAAATTAATTTAAAATATAAAAAAAAATGTATTATATTCAATAGCAAACATTATTTATTTTCGTTTTCACTAGCTTTTATGGAACCCGATGATCTAAGAACAAGTGAGAAATTGGAAAAACTGCAACGTCGCCAAAAGCGTTCAGCAAACTTAGATGACACGGCGGAATTAACAAAAGAAGATGAAGACGCTATGCATGATGAATTGACTGAAGATGAAGAAGAGCATACACGTGCTAAACGGCAAGCACCTTACATCATTTATCCCGAGGTTTTGGTTATTGTGGATTACGATGGTTATCGGTTGCATGGTGGAGATAATTTGCAGGTGAGGTTTCCTGCGATGCTATAAATAATATCTTCATGGCATTTATGTTAAAAAAGTAGCAAAAAATTAAGCAGTTATGAATTTGCTTACCTAATGATATCAGCAATAAAAGATCACAAAATTAAGGTGTGCTGTTTGTTGCACGTTTTAGTGCTTGCTTAATGGGTGTATTCTCAGCACATCCTTTTATATATCTAGAAAAATAAAAATTCTATCTTTGCTGTCGTTAAACTGATTTTGAAATTCATTTTACAATGAAGCGACAAAAAATTTTTTGTATTTTTCTACTCTTGTACAATTTCGACGTAAAGCCAATTTCATTATATTTATTTTATTTTGTTTTTTTTTATTTTTGTATTTTATAAGCAGTCAAGACATTCATAAGCAGTCAAGACATCATTAGTCAAGAGGAGTATCTTTTATATTTCTAAGAAATAGTGCTTACATTTTGTGATATTTTATCTGTGAATTTTTAAAATATTAAATAGTACGTGTCAGTATTTACAATTGATATCTTTATTTATCTTCCAAACAGGTGAAACGTTACTTCATCTCTTTCTGGAACGGCGTAGATTTGCGTTATCGTTTACTTAAAGGTCCTAGAATACGTATAAGCATTGCTGGTATTATTATCTCAAGGGTAAGTCTATGAAGCTTTTTTCTTTAATTTTAATAAGTTGATATATTTTAAAATTTAACTATGATGCAATTACGACAAAATTTGTAAAAATTATAATAAAGATAATGATTAAAATATTGGTGAGTTTATATGGACTAGGATTAAAACGTTAGTAGTTTCGTCTAGAATTAATAACAAAAACCAGAGCTTTCTTTTTATTTAACTTAAATTAATTTAATATGACAACCTTCAGACATTTCAATAGTTAATAGAATAATTTATAAATGTGAAATACAATTTGTCTTATAATTGATGAGATATTAATAAGTAAGACAGACGAAAGTGCATTAATTCATCATCTATATAGTATATATAGTATCATAAGCTTTATTAAAGGTTCTGGATGGTTTTAGCCCATGGGTTCTAAATAATACGGTATCACAATGGGCCTATAAGCCTAAGTGGATCCCCCTGGGATCGTCGGTATAACCTAACCTAATAAGTAAGACAATGGTATACCGCAATCTATAAAGCTTATTGTGCTAAATTGATAAAATAACAGATAGTACAAGTTTGAATTTGAAAAAAATTTCTAATGTAATTTATTTGGTTTCATAAATCTTTAAAAAGATAATTTTAAAGAAAATATGTGTATATTAAATTAATAAATTATCATACCAGGTATGAAAAATGTTTAAACGCGCAATTTCTATTTCTTTTCGTTAAGGTTGTAAAAGTGCTAAATAAAAGCAAGAAAATGCTATCTTTTTACTTTTTGTAAAATAAGAAACAGGTAATGTTTTATCAAATACCAAAAAAACCATCAGATCGGATTACTTATTAACTTATTACTTATTAACAAATATACATAAAATATACATATACATATACGACTTATCGTGTACCCTGTTACATTTTTAATAAATTCGGTAATGAAAGTGCATATATCACCGATTTTTAAGATGATCTCTGCCACAGTCTATTTCGCCTTGTATAGAAATAATAATAAATAATTTTAGGAAGTTTTTAGCAAGGTTATCACAACGCACCCAACGATCTACTTACATCTTATGGCTCATTATGTTGCCATAAATTAGTTCGTAATATTGCTTTCTTATAAACATTTTCAACATTTTTGTTTCAAATAAGTTGCACTACAGGCAAAACATTCACCCATATTTTTATAAATTTATTTAATATTTGCTAATATTAAATAATGTTTCATAAATTAAAGTTACTCACGTAATTTGCTCACCAGGAAGTCATTGCGCTTGACAAAAACAAAAATTCAAAAAATTCGTCTAAGTCTGAGCGCACGAAACCAAAAATTATGGCTACCTTCAAAAATGTAAGTACCGCAGAGCTAAGTAAAAAGAAATTAGAAAGGCTTTGAAACGCAAATCTGTGAGACACCTGTGCGCTGCTAACCCAACAACTGATGCAGTGATAAGCTTTAATGAATTTGGCTGCATTGGCATGGGTAAAGTAAGTGGTAGTCATTTTTTCTGAAGTGCAATATTTTTCCGCAACTACAATTTTGTGATGCACTAATTCATTGCAATGAAAATCAGCTTTTTGGCTACAATCATCAGAAAACACGTTACCAACAATATTTTAAGCATACAACGTGACTTCAATTAAAGCCAGTATAATTTATTGCCATAATTGATGAAGTTTTCATTATATAATATCAGAGTATTCTGTATACATGAATACTTATTTGTATATATTTATTAATATATATATATATATATATATATTATATATATATATATATATATATATAATATATATATATGTATATGTTCATTCTTACAAGATACAAGTAAATCGTAAACATGTGTTAAGCAAAAAGTTTCGTATGTAAATTTTTAAAATATTAATGAATTTATATATTACAGTGATTTCGGTTAGCTTTCGTATCAAAAACTTAAAAAATTAAAAAAAAAGATCAGATTAGGTTATTAGGGATAATAGGGATTCACTTAAATCTGTAGATCGATTTGGTTGCTGTAAAAAGCTCAAAAAGTTTGAAATCATTTCGAACATCACACAATAATGAATCCTAATGTACTGTTCAGCTGAGTAGGTTCCTAAAGTAAAAAAAAATCTCTAAAATATTGTGTTATTACATACCTGAAAAATTTTATTTTTTGCCAAAAAAAAGTTATTGAAGGATAAAAGCCTGTGTGAAATATTCACTAGCAGTTAGATCGCCCTTCTATTTTGAATAACATTTTAGAACTTTGCTAGCACAACAGAGAAGGTTCTTAAAGAAGGAAACAAAATTATTCCCAGAATATTCCTATCAAACTAAAAGATTTATATGCTAGAAATTCATACCAACCACCAGCTTCAAATAAAGCGGAATAAACTGAGTAGTGCTGATAAGTCACTGCATATTAAAAGACGAATAAAAAGTCTTGGTCTACATTTTAACGATTTTTTCCGGAGTGTAACCTTTCTTCATTGCATATGTTAGTGCCCAAAATTAGCTAGAATCAAATTTAAGATGTTCACGATCTCTTTCTTAACTGACCTAACAGAGCTGTCATTCTTGAAAGTAGGCTATGCCTAGTGGTTATTCAGGTCTGGCATACTGATAGTGTTTCGGATATTTGTATTTAAATAAGCTTTACTGCACAACGCAGTCACTCCAACGTAACCTAACTTTTATCCTTTTGTAAGACTGCGCATTCATTTTTGTTAGGACCAAATGAAGAATAAGAGTTTTGAATTTCGTTCGAAACTTCTCACTCTATGATTGCATTTCATTAAACTTCCATGAGTAAAAAAAATATTAGGAAAATTTAGTTTAACATTCTCAGCACTATGTTCAGTTGGAGCACACACTCTATTAAGAAGTCTATATATATATCTTTCACTCTACATTTTCTGTTTTCATTTTAGTTTTATCATTTGTAATTTAACTATTCCTTTCGGGTCTTATCTACTGTTATATTGTTGAAGTCTCAATTCACTTTGCAGAATTCTTCATGCTTATTCAAAAGTTAACATTTTTGAAATTCCATTTTTAATAAAAAAAACTAGAACTATAATTACAAAACTGCACGTATGTATATTAAAAAATTGTTAATCCATTTACAAAAATACAAGTTTATTACTAAACAAAAATTCATGTCAGATTAAAAGGCACTCAAAGGCAGTTGAATTGCAGATATAATGGTGTGTTTATGTAGTTGTTTCGGCTTTGTTTATTTGTTATAATTATTGCATGTTTTATGACTTCTAATGCGATATTAAAAAATTGCTTTTATGATTTTTTAATTATGCGCTTAAACGTAATTAACTAAGTATTTCATCAGATTAAGTGCAGAGTTGCCACAATAAACAAAAATTTACTATTCTTACAAATGATTTTATAATCAATTGTGGTAGTATCTAAAATTTGTCATAGATAAAGCTTTAAATATAATTATTGCAGAATGCAAGTAATCAATTAAGATACAAATTGATTATTAAACAAATTCCTGTGAGATTGTTGCATACAGTAGATGAAGATGAAGATAAAGATCAATGATATAGTGATTGTCGTGAAACAAATTGTTATTGGATACAAATAAATAATAAAAAGTAAATACACATACAAATTGCATTTCGCCTATACATGTGAAAATTTTAACCAAAATAATTTTATAATTTTTAATATTTATAAATTTAATTGTACCAAAAAATATGCCAATAATATGTATATAACAATTAATACTTGACCGATTGTAGGGTTCGAAAGCAACGCACATCAAAAGTAACGCACATAAGCTTTTAAAAACCGTTGTTAATCTCAGCAATTCAAAGATTTTGCAAAAATTTTGCAATCATAGCTGTTGTGAGTCTAAGTTCAGTTGGCTTTATCACATGTAATGGTTGCCAATAAATCATTGATTTTATATCTTAGAATTTCATAGGAAAAGAGCACATCCAATAGCAGCTTAACCAGTTAGAAATAAAAATTTTAGCATTTGATTTGTGTTTGCTAAAAAAATTACAACATAATTTCCTGTTAGTCTTGTCTGAATTTTGTAACCGCAACGCATGTACAAGGTCTTCAATGATAAAACTTAAACAAACGAAAAAACTGAAACATCGGAATTAGTGTTTTTATAGATGATTTTAATAAATATACTTATTAAAAAACATTTAATTGGAATATTTATTAATAAATGCAATAAAAGAGTTTGTGAAACTGAACCAGAAAATAAGCATATATACAACACATAACATTTCAATATGATATATATACATCTAAAAGATTTTAAGTAACTTTGAATAAAAAGTTTAAATTCTAATCCTTTATTCTTCAATCACTAATTTATTAGTAAAAGAAATTACAAGCGCAGGGATTTATAATTGGGTTATCTCAAATCAGTGTTATCCCTTGTAATTTGTTAATTATTCTTCCGGTCTCTTAAGATAATGTTTTTAAATGGATTATACTTGGTCTGCGCGATCTCATACATTATATAAGAATTTTATTATAATTTTCCATGATATCTTAAATAAACCGCTAAGGAGTACTTTGCTTTTTGTTTTTGTTGTTACACATCCATTTTCTAAGTGATTTAGTATTGTTCATAGTAAATTCTGCTATGATACATTTATTCCTGATTCCAGCTATATACACGTTATTTTTTCAATAATAAACAAGGCCGATAGATCTCCACGGCTATATGTCAGTTTTTGTTGAAATTAAAATTACTTTTGATCCTTATCCTGATGAAGACTGTCAAGGAAAGTCGAAATATAGAATATATTAAAAAATATTAAACAAATGTTGAAGTTTAATTTTAAAAAAGGTGACCTATAGCCGGATAAAAAATATATAAAAGCATTATTAAAAAACAGGTCCATAAATAAATTCAAAATTTAAAATTTTTTTATATGCTGTTATAGAACATCATAAAACTTTGATCAAATCGGTGCTCTACATCAAATAATTCCTAGCAAAGCATCTACAGTAAGAGTACAAAAGATGTGCTGTGGTTGGAATGCTACTCTTCACT